AGGGCGTGACTAGTCCGGTCTCAGCCACTAATGAGACATGTGACTTTGGGCAAAGCATTTAACCCATGTGATCCTTTTTTTCTCATCTACAAAAATAAGGAGGTTGGATCACAATTCAAGAATCTTCAGTTTGACAAAGAGGTGTAAGATCATTCAATCCCAGGTCTGACGCTCGAGTTAATATATAACAAGTGTGTGTCCAGTCTGTGACTGAATGCCTACAGGGATGGGATCCTTCTCTACCCTGAAGCTGACAGTACCTTTCATCTTGAACAGCTCTAATAGCTTGAAAATTCTTCCATATGTTGAGCTGAAATATACCATCTGCATGTCATCAAATCTAAGAAGCCAGTGGTAGTAAGTTACACCATTCGTTTATGTGTCACTAAGAAAGAAGAGACACTGCCCATTAGCACATGCCACAGTGCTTTCTTACCATGTCAAATGTAAGAGGCATCAACATTTCAGAGATGTTAAAATATGAAAGTATGGGTATCTCATAATCAAAGAAATACAATATCATCCAGTGGCTCCTACTGATACTAACTGAAGCTTTGATCACATTAAAAGCCAGTTTAATTTTCTTCCATAGACAGTTCCTCAAGTAATTGAAGAGTGTTCATGGTCAACTTGAACCTTTCCTTTTCCAGTCTTATTGACTTTAGTTCCTAAGCATGATCTTACATCTATGAACTATCTCCAGCTCCTGTCTACTGGATCCATTTATAGTTTATCTGAATCTCTATTTATTTATACAAGTAAGTACCAAGCACTTTTTTAAGCACCAGGAGACAAAATGATGATCAAAACAGATAAATGCTCTGGATGCAAGTGTAGGACTTTCTGTTCTCTCTGATCTATTTCTGTTTATTATGGTTTAAATACTGACCAAGTTGTTTAAAATAATATATTGATATATTACATATCCTCCCAATGGGCTATTTCTTCTAAACAAGGACATGCTTCCTCATGGATATAGTGCAGTATATCAAACTTGAGTTATACATATGGAATCAGGCACATTTAGATTCCACCACAAAGCAGTGAATAAAATATGAAAAGAATTCAACAAAAAAATGAAGTCCACTCTACCTACCCTGAAATGCCCAGAGTACTAAAATGCCCTGTGCGGGTCAATAAGATTTTGCTGCTGCGTATTTCTCTCATTTGGAAATCTGGCTACTGTCATCTAGCCATCGTGATGAGTCCAATAGAACAATCAGGAGAGAAATGTCTTAATGCATCCTGGGATCCAACCCATTTTTAAATACAGTATTGGAAACTCTCCCAAGATTAGAAAACCTGGATGAGCACATGAAGTTTGTGTGAATTTATTTTAGCTTATATTGAGATGTCTGTGGCTCTCACAAATGGGGAATTCCATCGAGGTTTCCTGTCTCCTCTGTTTCAGTCCAGTAATATTCAGAGTGCTCAAACCTCTGTTCCCGCTCAAACACTGGTGTGTGTGTGTGTGTGTGTGTGCTTGCATACATACACACACAGGACAGAGGTGTATTCCTCAGTGAAATCTGTCCACTGTGCACATCCCTAATGAGAAAATAATAGGCATCGTAATGTCTGCACCTTCTTCTGGCAGCAACACAGTTAGGGTACATTTGAGATGGAAGATTTGAACTGGCTGAAGCAAAGTCACCCATGCCCAGATTCTTAATTAGGCATATGGTTTTAAAAGTGAATCTATTTCTTCTAATCAAGAATAAGTGTTGATCATGAAAATGTTTTTATCAGATAATCATTGCATGCAGATGTGTATTATTGAAAAGAAAGTCAGAGAACTTGCAATTATTTATTTATATGCATCCCCATTATAAGGATACGATAGCCTCTTAATCATCTGAAGAGAGATTTAGTGGAAGTTGAAAAATCCCTCGGCAAAATTAATATTCCTAGTAATGGTCTATGAAGAAGTTTTTTGTTTTGTTTTTTTTTTACTGAAACTTTGCAAGCTATAAAAGGAGAAAAGCACAATTTTTTTACTGAAAGATGATAGAAAATAATGAAGTAGCCTAAAACTGGTGAGATGCTTCAGTTCTACCAAAGTACTAAACAAAACAAGAGACTATGGAGAATGACATGCTCTTTGAAATGTCTTCTCAGGTCACAGGGACACTTCCTAGCTGCTGCCCCTCTGTGGGGGCCTAGGGGAGCTGGCCTGTGGGTAACCTTGCTGCCCCCTCCTGCCCTAGCTAACTGGTCCAGGGGAACACCTGGCCAACCAGAGCTACTTGCCAAGAAGTTGGCAACGTAGCAGAAAGAGAAGCTCCCTCTCTTTCCCACAGGTAAGGTCTGGACCTGGGGGGGGGGGGGGTGCTGTTCTGCCCTGTAGACGGAGAACAGGAAGCAGGTGTGGAAGGAGACAAAACAGAAGAACCCCAGCCAGGAGGAGACAGGAGCACTCCAGGTAGAGGGCCTGGGTGTCTGCTTCCAGGTCTTTCCGGAGGCCCTGCAGAACCCCTCCAGGTCCCTGAGAAGACCCTACAAGACAATAGCAAGGACCCTATTTGTTTAACTGTCTCTAATTCGCTCCTGGTACTTGCCAGCATGCTGTGGTGCCAAGAAACTAACTGGAACAGGACGGATGTGACGCCAGGTAATCATGTAACTGGTAACGCTCAGTTCTTGATCTCTAAAAAAAGAAAAAATAATTCTGCATATTTACATCAATCGTGTAAATACAAATTAATAATGGTTGTGGTGAATGTGACTAGAAATCCTCAAAAATCACACAAAAATGCTTTTTTAGTGTAAAAGTGCTATCCTTAAAAAGAGAAAACTGTTTAAGTAAGATAATACTTTATAAAAAGGTACTATTCTTGGCCCTGGCTGGTTTGGTTCAGCAGTTGGAGTGTCAGCCTGCGGACCAGAGAGTCCTGGGCTCGGTTCCTGCTAGGGGCACGTACCAAAAAATAATAAAATAAAATCAAAAGGTACTATCCTTTATGTAATTTAATATTGAGCTGTTCAGAAGCAAATTGTTTTTCTATCCGCTCTTAACAAAAAGTAGTTGTTTTAATCACCTTTGATATGTGGTTTAATGGGGTTTGAAGAACAGTATGTTGCAAACAATTAGAGATTTCTTTTGTGAGATATTAACTGGGTCAGTGGGTAAAACATCAACTTCACTATTATCCTACTTTTACCATAAAAATTAGTCAATCTTGCATGTTTTTCTGTAAAGGTAGTCTTAAAATGTGGCATTTTATTGGCATAATTATATCATTCTGTCTACACGCACACACACCTGCACACAGTTTACCAACAATATTTCTGCCTCTTCTGCTCACCAGGCATCTTGTGTGGCTCATGTACCTTGACCTAGACCATCACCCCCTCAATGTGCTTCCTCTGTCCTAATCGGGGGAAACCAATCCACTTGCTGAAAGAAGAATCAAACAAAACAGTCTGTGAAAGTACTTTGTAAGTAGTAAAGGATTATACAAACTTAAGGAGCTAGTATTTCCAATTAAATGTATAAGAAATTCATAATCTGAGAGTGGATTATGAATGAAAAGCAGCTTTCTTCTGCCCATGCTGTCTCCACAAGAGTTTAAAGAGCTGCATGCATGAAAGGACCATCAGCCTCTTTTCATACATTGGTGGCAATTCTTCGTTAGGGGGAAGATCTTTTCAAGAAAGAAACTCAAAGTCTTTCCATCTTCCATGTGTGGAACATCTGTGCTAAGCCATTCCATGCACACGTCTTTGAAGCACAGACTGCCTAGAGGAAATACTTTGATTTGGGCTTTATTTAAATGCCTGAACTTCTATTGGAGAAACAAAAGATTTTCTAGTAAAAGCTCAGCTGGGAAGGAGACCAACCTCCAATCAATTTAACCGCTCAGAGGCCAAAGTGGCCTGGGTTTTGTTTTAAAGGCACCATGCAATGGAAATCTCCCTGTGAACTTCCAGCACACGCAAACAGCTGGTTTGGGAGGCTGCTGACCCTGGGTGCAATCACTGTGGTAATTAGATTTAATTTTCCTAATCCAACAGTGCCTGGCTCCATCATGTCTACATCTCCTCTGCAGAAACCCATTACTCTCGTTTAGTAATACTTTGACATGCTTGAGATTTTTGCAGCTGAATTCCCTATTATTAGAAATTACTTTTTTATGACTATATTTTCTATATTTATATGTAAATAGTTTCTATATTTATATGTAAATATAGCTACTCGAATATTGTGCTCCGGAGAGTTTAATATGGAGGTTATCCTACTTCAGGAACTTTCCTGAAACATCCTGAGCCAGTTCAGTAGACCTTGAATAGCACGAACCCCCCCTCTTCTACAAGTCTTTTGTATCCTTATATCAACTCGCTTGGAAAGATGGAACCAGCCCTAAGTCATGGCGGGCCTGAAGGGTTCGGGTTGCACGTGTTTCTGCCAACCCAGGGAGGCCTGGCTTCATGCTGCAGCATCCTGGGGTTCCTCCGGCTGGAAGAGTAACAGAGATCAGAGGACTCTGTGGAAACCTGTCTTCCTGGTAGAAGGAAAGACCGTGTCGATGTTTGCTTGCGCCTGGAGAATGCCTGTTGATGTTGTCAAGAAAAGCCACGGGTCCGGTTCTCGCGGGAGACCGGGTCTGTGTTATATGTGTCATGTTTTGCTATGACACGGAGCGAGCTGGCCAGCTGATAGCGGAGCGCGCACTGTGTCCCTGGGAATCGTAATTGCTCAGTCGGTTAAAAAAAAAAAAGGAACAGCAGACCCTTGCTATTAGCACAGGGTGCATTTGGGTAGTTTAAAGGAGGGAACAGACAGAGTCACTTAAGTTCTGAGTCTGTCTTAACCCCACCCCCACCCCACCGCATGCCCCAAAATAAGAAGGAAACAGAAGGGAAAGCCTGGGCTGAGGAGCGTTCCAGGGAGCGAATTGCTCAGGACTTCAAACACAGGGAGTCATTCTGTCGCGGGGAGGGGGCGGTGGGGGCAGGCCCTGGGCCGCTCTAACAAAGTCCTCCTCTCTCTGCTCCCTCCCACTTCATTCACTTGCAAATCAGTGTGTGCCCACAAGAGCCAGCTCTCCCGAGCCCGTAACCTTCCCATCCCGAGAGCTGCAGCTTCCGCCGCTGCAGGAGAACCGCAGAGCGGGGGCGCGGCGCGGTGGCGCGGCGGGAGCAGCCTGGCGGGGCGCAGGGTCTCGGGGCGCAGGAAGGCGAGCCGAGGTGGGTCCGGGCTCTGTGAGCCGCGGTGGTGGTGGTGCATGCCTTTCTGTTTCTCAATTCTGTAGCTTTGATGGAAACCAATCAGAGAGAAGGCTCTCTCCGCCCGGTGCCGCACGCCGGAGTTGGGAGGGATGCTCAGCCGGCCAGCCTGGGTCCGGGCGGGCACGCGGGTCCGGCTGCGCGGGCGGCGCTGTGCCGCTGCCCGGGACCAGCGCCGCTGCCCGGGGAGCCTGGGCGCTGCTCCTCCGCCTTCTGGTAAGACCGACCTGCCTGGGGCTGCATGGGGGCATCCGACACGGGCCGCGGGGAGCACCCCCTGCCTCCCTCTCTGCGGGCAGAGGCTTCCGGGGGGCGCCGGCATTTGCAAAGTTGGCTGGTCAATTATCAAGGGCGCCGGTGCGTGTAGGACCCGCGGAGCCCTTTGGGGTTTGATTCATTTCCACCTGCCCACAGCACAAGGGGCTTTGCGGGGACTGCTTTGGCTGAGTTACGTTTCTGGACTTTGGGGTAAAGCCGAAAATCGGGTAGCTTGAAAACTCCAGAATGCCCTCAATAAGGAAAACTTAAGCTAAAGAGATGATTTGACCCAGAGAAGGAGCTAAAGAAAACCGTTAGCTTGCTCGTTCGGACAGAAATGCTTAGGTTGCAAGAAAAGTCCACGCTGGACTCCGAAAATGGAGCGCACTGTCCAGGGAAAAGTCATGTGGAAAACGCAGCTCGCCTGTGCTCTCGGGGCCGGCCAGGCACAAATCTGGGGTGCACTGCCTCCCGGACTGGGTGAACGCAGACCCGGAGCGCCTGGTGGTAGGTGTCCGGTGCAGGGAGAGGAAAGCCCTCGGTGTTTGTGGTCCAGGGTTTAATAAAAGGGGACGGTGCGATGTGTACTGCAGCAGCTGCAGGGCTGGGATCACTTCTGTGATTCTTCTGCCAAGAGTTACCGGAGATTTTAAGATGGGAGATGCTGGAGAGGTCAGTGTGATGCTGAGAAGTGTTGTCACTGCTGCAATAAAATCCATATTTTATGGGGAGTTTTATGCAGGACTCTGTGATTGCCAGGGGCTGTTCACCTGAGTTCACTACTGAGAATATTGAAGAACCAAGAAGTTTAATTATCTGGAATAGCCACACTCTTTCTCTCTCTCTCTATCTCTCCCTCCCCCCCCCCCCCTTTTGTAAAGATATTTTAATTATGATAGTCACTCTAAAGCCCATGTTTTCTCCAGTCTACACTTTCCCTTACTGGAACGCATGATGTGGGAAGGAAGAGGTTTTTCTGGGAGGATGCTGCTGGCGTGGCTGGTGTGCACACACATGTACGGCTGCCCTGGAAGGCGCACATGCAAAACATGCGCTTTGTGAGTGCTTATTATCCGGGAGGCGCACGCTCCTCCCTGTGCTGCGGAGGAACGGGGACCTGTCCATGCACAACTCTTCTGAGCGTGGATAACAAATATGCTATGGATTTGGTGGGCCTGGATTGCTTGTTTCCTTTCCTTTCTTGCTGCCGCCTTTACCTGAGAAGGAAAACCATTAGGATTCTACTTTAGGAAAAAGAAATCTCTCCCAGTTTAGCGTGAGCATCATCCTTTGTGTACCAGCACTCGCCGGCTCTGTATTTGCTATTTTAGAGAGTCGGAAAACAAGTTGTGTGAAGGAGGGGGTATGATCAAGCAGATGTCTTCATGGTGTCATAAGGGGGAGGGCAAAGTTTATGCCAGGGGCCAGATTTTCAATGAGCTCCAAAACTTAAAAGAAACCCAACAATATACTGGGAAATACAATCACACAGGATTGTCTCTCACCCACTTTTGCTCTTTGGTGTGTACTAATTAAAGAGGTACTGGGGGGAAATAAAAGGCAGATCTTTTTCTGCCTATTTTGATGGCTCGTGGCAGACTTTTGGAGCAGAGGAAGTAACCAATTTCTTCAGAAGAACATGCGAGACAGCAGCACATTTTTGAAGGAAAATGGCAATGGTTTAGTTCTACTGTACTTGTCTACAATTATCTTTCACTGCCATTATAAGTAAGTGACAAATTGGTGTCTCTATGGGGAATTTTAGTCCCTTTACTATCTGGCTTTTATATCAGTTTATTGCAATTACATTTTTTAATGCTAACTCTGCAAAGATAATATATAGAAACAAAATCATTTTCTACCAACGTACCTACTATCAGAAAACGTGTACTTTACCTCCTCCACCCACCACTTCCATCAGCTTTGCAAGTAAAAACTTACTCCGAGGCACTCTTTCTTTTCATGGGAAAAAAATCTATCTTGCAAAATGCTGCTCTGAGATACTTGAAACAGTAAAATTTCTAGAAAGCACAACTACAACTCCAGGGCACGAAAGGACACTGTCTTATTGCAAATGCACTGGCACAGCAAGTCCTGGATATCTAATTAGAGTTAATTGAGTGATTGTCCCACACAGGGATTAAAAAAAAGAGATCGAGTATGAAAAATATTCTAAATAAAACCATGTATCTTCCTAAGGAAGTGAAACTGAAACGTGTGGTCCCCCCTTCTGGCCCTTGCTTGCTTTGCAGTCATGAATGCCAACTTACTAGAGCAACTTACTCTTGACCGACAGAAACTTTGTTTAGTTGGAAGGGACCTCTAGTGGGTCACTCCATGCATTTCTCCCTGTAGTTCAGTTGCATCATAGATTTTGTTATCTAAGACAATAAGCACGCAACAGCTTTCTCTTCATAGACAAGTTTGTATTCTCCAAATACTATCTTGACATTCAAGCCAGGTCAAAATCACTATCATTGGTATTATTTGTGTTATTCCACTAATCTAAGGAATTCAACAGTATTTGCTCAGTTTTTTGGGGGTATCCAGACTTTTGGTAAGTTTTCTATGATTCCAAATAAAAGCAATGGACTATTAATAAGAAATCCATCACTATCAATATAAGATTTTCTGATCTTACCAAGACTGTACTTCCTTTATTCAAATTTACTTAATAATAATAATAATGGCATTCTAGCTATAATTTAACAAGTTCTACATGAAGAATCCCCACCTCTAAGGAAATATTTTAAGAAAAAAAGGAAAAATCTCAGAGATGCATGAACATTCACAAATTATACAAAACCAGAGGCTTCTAGTCTAAAGAGCCCCCATTCGAATAAGCATAAAAAAGTCCAACGGATGTTTCGATAACTATGTCACCCTTATTCTGGAAGGTGTTTTTTTCTTTCTCTCTTTGATGTCTCACAACACATTTTAGGTAACCTACTTCTTTAAAAACTCTGTGACTTAAAGTAAAATAACTTCTATGGGAGTGAATCAGCCTCTTCTGCTGACAGTCTGCAGGTTTCAACTTCCAATTTAAAAATCTGTTCGAAAGTTTGAAATGTGTTCCAAGTGAGATAGCATCCGCGGAAGCCAGTTGCCTTATGCCGCTTGCTTAGTCACAGCAGCCCATTCTTTGGGGTCGATCAGAATTAGGGTCTCGCTTATAAAAATAACAAGCAGAGCCTCGGTCTGAATTGCATGTTTTAATAGTGTTTCAGGCTAGCTAGTGTCTCCTGAGCTTACCTGATTTGCTTCACAAAAAGGTGAACCTGTAGATAATCAGACTCCTCTGGTTTAAATTCTTTTTCTGAATAATGATTCTAAATACAAAGACTCAAGAACATCATGCTAATAGGGAAACTGCTAAAAAAAAGAGAAAACATGCACAGAGCACCCAGTTGTCACTGTTCCAACAGAACTGGAGGAGAAATATAGAATCAGAGAGCAGGGGTCGATCTTTTTTTTCTCTTCACTCTTTTTTCCCCCCTCCGTTGAGATTTTTATTCCATTTTGAAGACAAATGAGAGGTTGAAGCTCTTTCCTGGATCTGAGCTTTTCTCTTATGAAGATTAACTGGCCTACATTTTTTAAAGTTCCTATGCCTAGGAATGCTCCCTTTTTCAAAGCAGTCATATGAGAAACTTCAGGCTGTCCCTAATTAGCTGGAGAGCCAGACGTAGATGGTCTTTGTAACCTCATCATTCACAAAGTGAGAAGATAAGGGAAGAGGGGAAAAGTGCAAAGAACCCTTCGTGAAGGTGGTCCACCTTCATTCACCATGAAAGGAAAATGGAGTAAAGCCCTTTAAGCCAAAATGGTTGGGTCAGAGGGGACCTGATACAGCCAGTGTTCTAACTGAGCAAGACCGAACTATCCAGGAAATGTTAACTCTTCCAACAAAAACACCCACGAGGGGTGAGTGCTCAGAGCACACAAGCAGAAATGGAGACACACAGGCAGAGGGTACCAGGTCCCCATCCCCACAGGTTATTAGAAATTATTTTACCTCGCTTTGTCTGTTTAATATCTTTACACTAACAGTGCTGGGTGCTCATTTTTTCTATGAATCAGATCAACTGGCTGAGATTTATAAGAGAAAGAGTTGAATCAAAGCCAGAATGTCACTACTAGATTTGATGTGCAGTGTAGACAGCAGCACGGGTCCCAAGCCTTTCCCACCATCTGCAGTGCTCTCTTCTAGAAGACAGGTCATGAAGGGAGGAATGGATGCCAGCCACCACAGAATGGGATGCACGTCATCTTCATATTCTATCACTGAAAGAGCACTGGGATTTTTTTTCTTTGTATGATTCCCCAAATTGGTAGATCACCCAGAAGAGGTGCAGAAGACCTAATAAGTTACAGGCATAGAAAACAGCAAGAAGAAAACTAAATCGAGGTGTCCAAGTGAGCAAAATGAACAGACACAGGAGGTGAGTTTTTACACATGAGGGGAACATACGAATAGAACGAAAAGGAAAACAGCCATTTCTGCAGAGGTCGCCTTTTCTACTTTATCGATACTGCTACTATTAAATACAACTTTATAAACACAATCACATCATTCACAGACGGTCACATGTTTATAAATATCCTACCACAGAATGAAAATGTGAAAATGATCTTTTAAAACAGTTGGCCATCTACCGGAAATGATCCAGCATGGATCCTAAAACAACCACAGGAGTATGTTT